AGCACGCACGCAGCGGCATCTTGATATCGACCCACATACCGCACATCGGTATGTGTTATCAACATCAAAAGCAACCCCACATCCCCTGTTCAAAGCCAGTGCCATGCAGATACGGCCATACCCCCAGTGAACAGAGGTTCTTCGTTTCTTTCCCCACAAGCTACCGAAGCAGCCTGTCTCGTTCTACGTTTCAGCCACAGTACCATTCTCACACACAGGGCGGGGCATTGACCACAACTCCCGACCCAGGCGCTCCGTCCGTCCTCAGCGCCACCAGGATGGGCCAATGATCAGAAACCCTCGCCTCACGAGGCATGTCTACCCCGGTGTGGTCAATCCACACCCTGTCGACCAAGCCCCACAACTTTGGCGTCAAAAGAACATGGTCGATCAGAGAGAGCCTCTCTTCCTCCTCCCCCTTCTTCACATACCTGCTAGAGTACCTCTCGTTAACCGGAACAAATTCAATGGCGTTTCGAAGGTCATCGACGCCGTCGTTGTTCAGATCCCGGAACATGGACAGCACCCTTGATGTTGGCTTGGTCTCCCTCGAGCAGGTCCTCACGCGGTGCAGATCGGACAGGTCGTTAACGTCTCCCATTATTGCCACCTCGTATCCTTCGTCTATGAGGCGCCGAGCCTCATTCTGGATGACCTTGGCCTGGCCCTCCCGCTGGGCACAGGATTCTTCGTCTGTCGGAAAGGCCTTCAGATGGACGCCAATAATGGCGAACTTGAAAGGGACGCCATCCAGGGAGGGGAACCGAGCGACGAAGTGCTTGGAGACCCCCGTGCTTTCATCGCGCGCCCCGCACTTGGAACCGGCTGGAGTGCCTTCCCTTTCCTCGGTTCTTTCGAGAGGGTCGGACGGATCGATTCGCGTAAGTAAAGCAGTGTCCTGCCTAAGTGCGGTGTCGTTGCCTTGGACGAGGTACCCCTCGTAACCCGGCAGGAGCCCAGCCAGCTCGGCAAGCCTCGTGCAGTCCTCCACTTCCTGCAGGCTCAAAATATCCGGACCGTTTCTGCGAATGATACCGGCGACAGCTTGGAGGTGGAGAGCGGCCCCCTCGTGATTGCACTGCCAACGCCCGACCGTATCTGATTCTCCGTCAAACAGCCACTCCGGGTTGAATGTTCCGATAACGAGTTCCCTCTTGTCCAGCCGACGATCCTGGCCCGTGCGCGTCGGCCCTTCACATGAGCCGATCTCTGTGCCGCTTTTCTGTTTGCACACACGCTCGAGGCCGTCGGGTGTGGACCCTCCGGACGGTGTCCCCCCTCCGGTCGTTCGCCGCAGCACTATGGTATTCCCGTCCACAAGAAACGTACCCTTGGGGAGCACATCCCATTCCAACCGGGAAGAAACGGCCCAGTTCGTGTTGCCCCTCGTCACGACTTCCTTCCTCACGGCGGTGTGATCCAGAGACCCCTCGTCGACCCCGCCGATCCGAAAGGCATCCCCCCGCGCATTCCACCCCATTCCACCTTCGTCTCCAAACAAATCCACAAACTCGCCTCCCCTGCTGAGCCCCAGCGCATCATTCCCGTTGAACTTCAGATCACCAGGCGTGGCGTCGCACCTCTCAATGGCGGCCTTCGACACACCAGGATTGCAAAGCGTGAATGACTCCCCTGGTCTCAGAGACTTCCGGGCCAACGGTTCCACATTTTTCGCCCATTCGCGTCCATTGATTGCGGTCCAAAGAGTGTACTCATTCAGGTCGACCGATGTGCTTCCACGGTTGGTGAAGACGGCAATCTTATTGAGGCCTGAGCCCTCCACCACTTGGGCGATCAGCAGCTCGCCGGTGGCGAAAGAGGAGCACGTCAAAATGATGACGAGCACCGAACAAAACTGTGGATTCATGGCGCAGATGTGGCAGGGGGCCGCCGCCCTCTCAAATGCAGCCTTCCTTCTGCTTCGCATCGGAACAGACTCAGAATCTAGGATTATTAAAACTTATGCTGGGGAATGCCCATCTGGATGGTGAACATCATTGGATTGTGCGCAGCATTGGAAAAGGGACGCTATAACTGTTGTTTCATGCAGGGTAAGTGTCTTTTGCAACGCATGTTGAGTCGCTGAATATCGCGCATCAGTAATGCATCCAGAAGTACCGTGTTTTTCAGATGTTGCCGTGTTTATTGGGACCAGTTTCGCAGGTCTGTGCAGGATGCACAAGGAGATGCGCGTGCAAATTTCTGAAAAAGAATAGAATGCGTATTAATGACCATACCAGAAAGGGTGCAGAGATCATCTCAGCAATTGGGCCGCTCCTTCGCGAAACATTCCAGCGTGGGCAAGCCATCTGAAGTGCGTCCGAAATGCGATTACTATGGGCTACAAATGTGGTTGAAGGGGGCGCAGAGAAGACACTGTCCCACACAAAAACGGCGCCAGCAAAGCGGAGTTCTAAGTGCCATCAAGTACCAGGCTAGTTGGATGCTTCCCACATCCTTTCGGGCAGGGGTCATCATTGAATACATGGCATAGACATATCCCCAACAAACACGCGACGTGTTCGAGGGTCATTAAGCTCCTGCAACAGAAAGCGGCGTTGATTGACGGAATCTGTATGCCGCCGAGAATAAGAAATATTCCATATCTCATTCGTTGCCACAGCTTCCTGTGTCGTTCCATGAATCCATCAATATCGCATTCAACACGGCGACGTGGCAGCTTTTGAGACCTGAAGCGTCAACGCTGCGGCTCCGGAAGGAAGGTGTGCAACATCTGCGTGCGCTCTCCCTACGCGGCGCGGCACCTCAAAGGGCGGAATATTCCCTCCTTCTGCGGCTGCAAACAGTGCTGTCTGCGAAAGAACTGCGCGCTGGAAGGGAGGAGGACGCCACGGCCAGCAGCAAATTGGGCTGCGTGCCAGGGATCCCCGGAACGAACTGCCCTTCCGTACGCGCAGTACCACGTTCTCAGCAGGGATTCCAAGTGCGACATTTGCTGCGACGGGAATTGGCGGCGCCGTGCGGTCAACAGCGCAGGGCTGGAAAGGAAGTCCCCTTCTTGTGGGCCGGCGTGCCAGAGCTGAAGCAAAAGGAGGGGGGGCTGAAAGGGGGGAGGAGACATCAAAAGTTGGCCATCTCCCAAGGAACGTTGTGTTGAGTTGGATTCCAAGCAATACAGCGATCGCATCAACAGCGATCGCTTGGCAGGGATCTGGGGTAAGCTCCGCGGGGTGAACGTCGCAGTGCTGGAAGGAGAGCAGGCTCCGAGTCCCGCGCGGAGGAGCGCGGCCCCAACCAGCCCCTTCGCATGCTCGTCAGCAAGAGTGACCTGTACAAGTCATCGCGGGCCCAGCATTTGGCCAGCACCACCCTTGCACACCAACGTCTCAACGAACGGCACAACACCACCAAACCTGTGCCCCCTGCGCCTGCGCTCAAACCGCTGCGCCGGCAGAACAAGAAACCAACGCCTCGGGGCCGCGGGGCACACTCCCTTGAACCCCCCATGCTAGCCTCTCTCCGACATCGTCCGCCAATCGCCGCCCTTCGGAGCATCCTTGCGCCGCGTTCCTCGCAGCAACGCTGCTCTGCCACGCGACGCACGATCGCGTCCAAGACACGCGTGCAGGGCTTCATTAACGACGTGGCTCTCGGACGTCAAGCCGCCGAGGCCAATGCCCGAAGCGCCGCCATCCACCCCCAAGTGCCGCGCACCTCACCTCCAAAAGTCGCCCAGCTCCAATCCAGGAGAACAAAGCGGGGTCGGCCTCCAAGCAGCCAGCGGGCGCAGCGGACGGGCTGAGTGCACAGAGCCCGTACCAGCAACTTCCTCTGTTGACTTCCCGGCCCGGATGCCTTGACTGCGACCCACAGCCAGAGCTCGATCCGGGAGATCCCGGCAACATGGAGGAAGTGGTCTCGAATGGACATGGGCATGCACGTGCCGCCCCGTGCCCCAGCGCCCGCTCGCCCTGCATTAGCTCCCAGGCCCATTAGGGCGGGGGCATTAACAGCCATGAAAGCAAGTGATTCAATGAAACTGAACCGAAAGAGGGCGCTGTGATGAGGTGAACAACCTCGGGCTTGCTTGGGCTTACTTTGACCCCGTTGGGCTCTGTGATGAAAGTGCAAAAGGGAAATGAGTTGAGCTGGCTTGTCTCCCTTGAGGTCCATGAAACTTGTACAGATCCTGATGCATGTGCCAGTGCGATGCTCCTTCGCTGATGCATGCCACCAGAAAACAACATTTTGACGATGCCAGCTGCGAATGCCATCTGACGCTATTTCTGACTTGCATGTTTTCCCTCGCCATCTGCGAACTAGAACGGGGGACAATAGTTTTGAAACTGAGGGACTTGTCTGTTGCCACATAATGTGTTGCTCTTCCAAATGCCCGACCCATGGGAACATGTGGGAATTGCAATCAATTTTAAGAATAAGTGCTCGGACAAGTGCTTTCAGGGCTGCTGGTTCAATCGGCTTGAATCATAGACGCACATGCACAACATCAGGTGATTGATATTTGTAGTGCAGGATATCACATGCATGCGTCGGTCGAGCTATGGAACAGCTGATAGATACTCATGTTTCTTGAGATGCTGGGATTCTCATGAGCACTGGTGATCAAAGAAGTGAAAAGACACAGTGCCGCCTTGTCGGCATGGTTGACGTGGAAAACAATAAGATCGGGCCGATTACTGGAGTTTGTTAAGAATTCCAGGCAGGTTTTGAACTGCAGCCCAATCTTCTGATGCGCTACGTCGCTTAAACTGTCCCATCTGCAAGCTGTATACGGCATACACCATAACAATAATCTCGATGTGCGCACAGCACAAAATAGCATCGTGACACCAGCTTACATGTTGCAATCAGAATTTGCTCTCAACGTCCAAACAAAACCACACGGCCCGTCCAGAACCGATGGCATGTTGACTACGTTCGGCAACAACCACACAACCGAAACTGCAATTTTCAATTGTCTTTCCACGCTTTGGACGTCCGCAGTCGCCTTGCACTGTATTCCAGCCGCAGTCCTGTTCTCACACACAGGGCGGGGAATTGATCACAGCCCCCGATCCAGGCGACCCGTCCGTTCTCAGCGCCACTAGGATGGGCCAGTGGTCAGACACCCTATCTTCGTAAGGCGCGTCGGCCCCGGTGTGGTCAATCCACACCCTGTCGACCAGGCCCCACAACTTTGGCGTCAAAAGCACGTGGTCGATAAGGGAGAGCTTCTCCTTTTCTTCGTCAATGAACCTGCTCGAGTATCTCTCGCCAACCGGCACGAATTCAATGGCGTTTCGAAGGTCGTCGACGCCGTCGTCGTCGACGTCGCGGAGCATGGAGAGCACCCTTGATAAGGGCTTGGTCTCCTTGGAGCAGGTCTTCACCCGGTGCAGATCGGACAGGTCGTTGAGATCCCCCAATATGGCCACCTCGTAGCCATCGTCTATGAGGCGCCGAGCCTCATTCTGGATGACTTTCGCCTGCCCCTCCCGCTGGGCGCAAGAGCTTGCGTTCTTTGGATAAGCCTTGAAATGGACGTTAATAATGGCGAACTTGAAAGGGATTCCTTCCAGGGGTGGAAAACGAGCAACTAAGTGCTTAGAGACACCTGTGCTGTTGTCATGCGCCCCGCACTTGGAGCCAGCTGGAGTGGACACCTTCTCAGCTGTTCTGGCAAGATTGCCAGACGGATCGACTCGCGTCAGTAGAGCAACGTCCTGCCCAGTGGCGCGATCTTCGCCTTCGACGAGGTACCCCTCGTACCCTAAAGAAAGGAGCTCTACCAAATCGGAAAGCCTTGAGCAGTCTTCCACCTCCTGCAGGCCCAAGATGTCCGGACTGATTCTGCGGATGATGTCGGCCACACCTGGGAGGTGGAGGGCCGCCCCTTCGGTATAGCAGAGCCAGCGCGAATGAGGTGAGTCTGATTTGCCGTCGAACAGCCACTCCGGGTTGAATGTGCCGATAACGAGTTCCTTCTTGTTGGCGCGACGATCCTGGCCCGGATTCGTCGGCTCCGAACAGTTGTGGATCTGCGTTCCGGCTTGGCACACACCCTCCTCGCTGTGAGCGAGTGATATGGTTCCCCCGTCCACGAGAAAGTCATCCTTGGGACGCACTTCCCACTCCGACCGGGAGGAAACGGCCCAGTTCGTGTTACCTTCCTTCACGCCCTCCTTCCTCACGACGGTGTGATCCAAAGACGCGTCGTCTTCCCCGTCGATCCGAAAAGCCTTCCCCTTCGCATTCAAACCCATTCCATCCTGGTCGCCGAACAAGTCAACCGTATCTCCACCCTTTCTGAGCCCCAGCGAATCGTTCCCATTGAACGTTAGACCATCGTGCATGACATCACAGTGGTCTCTGATCGGCCTCACCACCTTCGGGTTGCAAAGCGTAAACGACTCCCCTGCTCCCAGAGACTTCCGGCCCAGCGGCTCCAAGTTTTTGCGCCATTTCCCGCCATCTTTGGCCATCCAAAGAGCGTAGTCACTCAAGTCGACTGATGCGGTTCCTCTGTTGGTGAAGACGACGATCTTGTTGAAGAGCGAGCCCTCCACCACTTGCGTGATCAGGAGCTCGCCGGTGGCGAATGAGAGCAACGCCGACAAGATGACAAGGGCCGAGCGAAATCCCGGATGCATGGTGCAGATGTGGCGCAGTGCGTCGTCGCCGACTCAAAGGCAGCCTTTTGATTGCTTCACATCAGAACAAATTCTCTTCAGAATGAATTGTGGGTGATCTCTATCTGCACAAGGAAGGACTGCGCATTGGGTGGAGTGTTCCAAGAATCGACTTCACATCAGCCATCCATGCAACTCTGCTCTTGATGAAACCGTGCTGAAGTGCTGAAAATCAATAGAAAGTGACGTAACCGATGATGTACCGGATTTTGCATCTGTAGCCTTGCTTTTGCGTCATTTTCACGGACAGACTGTGCTAGACGCACATGGCAATTTCGAAAACAAAGGCAAACAGACATTGCTGGCCTTGGCATTTCTGCAATTGGGTACATCCACAAAAGAAGGTTTTGCATCAGAAGGTTTGTTCGCTTTTTCTGGACTGCTGCGCCTGATAGGTCCTAAAAATTTGACCGTTCCAGCATCTGGCGATGTCATGCAGCACTGGCACGCGATGGTCAGTTCACAACAGATACGTATGAAGGAAAAGTAGTTCTCCACTGCGCCAGTAACCAACCAGCCCAAATTCAAGTTGCACTGTTTGTGTTCAACCTCAGCACCAATGCGGAGGTGCTGTGGTGAGGGCATCGAGAAGGCATCAATGACGGCATCTAGAGAACAACGCATCACATGTTCCGAGCCATCAGTGCACGATGTACACGGAACGGGACTGTCGACCCGTGTTGAAGCGGAACTGGAAGCGAACTCTGCGCTGCGCATCCCGAAGGTGTGACACACCTACGCCCTGTCCCCCCGCGGTCTGCCGACGGAATATTCCCTTCTTCGGCGGCACCGAATAGGGTTTGGGCGAACGGACTGTGTCCTCGCCATCGTGGCAGCAATGTGAAAAAGGAGGGGGGAGTGGGGAGAAGCTACTAACAGCAAGGCGCTGGGCTGCGTCCCATGGGACGTCCCCCTGGCCAAGGACGTCCGCACCCCTGGTGCTGCTGTCCTGATGGATTTCAAGCGAGGCCCCTGGTACGAGCCGAGCCAAGGCACGGTGCGTTCAGGAGCGCGGAGGTGGAAGGGAGCACGATCCCGGTCCCGCGCAGGCGGCGTGCACTGGTGTGGCAGCAAAAAGGGGGAGGCGGGGACGGGGGAGCGCACGCCACAGCCAACGCAAACTGGGAGGCTACCCGGGGACGTCCCGAATAACGCGCACCGTAGCGTCGACTTCAATTCCAAGCACGACAATCGCTGCGATGGCGGTCGGCGCATTTTGCCACGCGGTCAGCGCCCCAGAGCCGGAAAGGTACCAGCTTCTGGGCGCGTGCGGACGGCGAGCAGCGCGGGCCCAAGCACCCCGCGGCTTCCTCGTCAGCAAGTGTGACTCGCAAGTCATCGCCGGCCCAGCGAGGCCAACATCCACACAACGCCAGCACCGCCACGAGCCGTGCAACGGTGCCAAGCCGGGTGCCCATTCCCGCGCCTGCGCTCCGATAGCGGCGCCGGCAGATCGAGTCCCAACCCCGCCTCGACCACGCGAGGCACTCTCCCCTCCAAACCATTCCGGAATCACGTCCATATGGTACGCCGATCGCCGCTCCTCGGACTTTCCCCCCAGACCCCCGATCCTCGAAGCAATGCTCAACTCCGATTCGCGCACCCACACGCCGTGCCACGCACGATCGCATTCAGTACTCGAGGGCAGTGTTCGCTGGCGCCGTCCACACCAGGCGGCGCCACGGGCCACGGTATACCGTCGCCTCCCGGTACTCGAAGCAACGCTTGCTTCCGGTTCCAGCACCCGCTTGCCACGCGGCGGTCGATCGCATTCATGACACGAGCGCAGGGGTTCGCTAGCGCCACACGGCACCACCACGTGTCACCGTGCCCAATGCCCGAGGCGCCGCCGTCCATCCCCACGCGCCGCGCCCTGCACCTGAAAAGGTCTCCCAACGCTCTCCCAGGAGAGCAAGGTGGGGTCGGTCTCCGGGGGCCAATCGCCACTGGGAAAGGGGAGAGCACGCAGAGCCTGCACCACGGCGGCGAAGCAACTTCGGTTGTGGACTTGCGGGGACGGGTTGCCCTAATCTGACCCGTAGGAGGGACACGATCCTGGAGATCCCGGCACCACGGAGGACCAGTGGAGGACGACTTCCGGGTAGCAGGGAGGGCAACGTCTTGAATGGACATGGGCGGGCACGCGGCTCCTCATGCCCCGCAACGTGTCCCGTCGTAAATTGCTGATGCGCCATCAGGGGCCTTGCTCGGCTTCGACTCATCGGAATGTATCGGTGAGCGGTCAAATGACTGGGTGCAGAGTCATTAAGGGACATGAAATCGACACCGAAGAGAACCTGAATGCACAGGCTGCGGCTCTCATGGGCCCAGTCGGACTCCCTTGGGGACTCGCCTGGTGTCTGTTAGGAGCCGCGGCCAAGGTATAAGGCAAAATATATAAGGCGTTGAGCCTAGGAAAACGAAAAATATCGTCTTGAGTTTCTCACCGCAACGCTCAGCCCAGCGATATTGGCCCTTAAAGGCAGCCAGATTCCTTCCGTTATGCTTCCGTCACAGAGTACTTCCATCATGCCACCCGATTGAGCCCCACCATTGGTGCTTTGCACTATTTCATGATCGAGCCCAACGGAGTCTAAACGAGCCCAAGCGAGCCAACGTGATATCAAGTCACTACCGAGGATGCCAATACTCTGGACACGCCCTTGGACATTGCGCACGGAAAGTCAGCCAATTCTAAGAGCATCAACAATGGTTACAAATGCTGCAATCCAATCAAAGAATAAAATTAAATACGCTCGCTACCCGCAGGCTCTTGCTTACGCCCAGGCGCACAGAATCCACCGACCGGACACCCAGTCCATTGCAACTGTAGTCCCAGAATTTCGGCGATCAGACAAGTGGTTGCGCAACGTGCGCTGTGGCGCAGTCGCCCAGCCCTTGTCTGAAGGTCCCCACGTTCTACACGGTGGACGGGCCATTCGCTCGCGCTTCTTCGGCGCTGTGGCCCAAAGCCAAGTCAAAAACTTGGCTGTACTCGCTGACGAAATGGGCCTCGACTCCGCTCTTGATGTCATCTGCCACAGAATCGCACAGAACACGTTCAGCTGGTGGGCGGCACAAAATTTCCAGCCAAGAGCCGTTCGCTGCTTTCCAGTTGCGTTCGCTGCAGCCGCCGACACAGCTGAAGACAGATGGGACAAGAAAAGCGATCAAATAAGCACGATTTATCCGGCTTATAAAATGCTCAGTTAATCACGGTTTCCAGAAATATTTAACTGGATTTGCAAGCTGCACGAAATTGTGCGAACGGGTGAACTTAAACTTATCTTAAGTTGATATTCTTATTCTAATTTTCTGTTTTCAACTTCTCACTTTTACCGCCTTTGCACCACTGTGGCATCCCAACTCTGTGTTACAGCGTTAAAATACCACAGAGCAGCGTCGCAAAGTCTACAACATTCGCTGCTACCACGTGGCAGCCCTGACGCCTTGAGCTTTCTGGAAGTTCGGAGAGCCACCGCAGCTCGACGCATGCATCTGTCTCAGCTACCTGCCAGTTCTTCATAGTCTCTATGATTCCCCTCGGGAAATACTATCCTCTTCACGTTGCTCCGGCGCGCCGCAATCGTCTTTTCCTTCACGCCGCCGATTGGGAGAATCTTCCCAGTTAAAGTCACTTCGCCTGGAGAGCCCAGAGAACGAACTCAAAAGCCCACATTTGCCGCGTGTCCGCCGTGTTGGTGCTGATCAAACCTTTCGTTGCGTGCCATTTGCATACCGCCAATCGTTAAACACTCCAAGAAATACGTCATCGCACACGTTGGGCAACGTGGCCCCTTGTCAAACATATGCAGCAGCAATCGTTGAGGGCTTGAATGGCCGTCAGATCTACAGGCAATTCATCCTCCTTCATACAGCGATATCATCAAGGCGTGATAGTACATTCGTGCCCTTGTTGCAATAGGCTCGCGTTAGTACAACACCATATGCGGAAGCGTCATTATTGGCGCATTTGCGCATCTTCATGAGTCAACACGTGAACGTCGCTGTGGCGCTGTTAACATCGCGGACAGGCCTGTTTGCGACTGTGTTCCGCCACCCTCCGATCCAACCCACCAGTCATCGCAAGGTCCGGCGCAACGGGTTTGTTCATGGCCAAGGACAGAAGAGAGGTTACAAGGGTCACGCCCGCACTCGGTCCGTCCTGCACACACACGCACACGGCCAGTCACAACCCCGTCGTCCATTTGTGAAAATTGGAGACAGAAACGACAATGACCACCAGGAGAAGCACTTGAACTGGCGGATTCAAAGAGTTGGGATGCATTGGCCTGAATTTAATTGGCAGCGCTTCCGCAGTTCCGTGGGGCTCGAAACCATCGGTGGCCGGACATGGAAGGCTCTTGCCTTCAGGACACGCCTCGGGCAAATTGCCGAATGGTTGCGGTAACGTTACGAATGGTTGGCCTCACCTTGGGCACTGCGCCTTCTGGGAAGTGCACGTGAATGCTATGATCGGAGAAGAAGTCGCTGTCGGTATCCCTGGAATGTCGATGAACGAGTCATCAAAATGAGAGCAATTGACTGGACCAGTCAGTTGAAATCAGGTTCCAGGCAGTTGGAATCAGGTTCCAAGTACTTGGACTGCCACCTCTATCGATGCATGGATGTCGAACCGATTGAGCAAACAGTGCATAACAACAACCAGTGCTGTATATTTTCCCGGCATTCTGCTGGATACATTGAACTCCGTGCAAGGGGATTCTGGCAAGGGTTTGGCATCGGATCGTGATCCAGAAATGGATCCACCAATGCTCAGCTTATCCTCTTGCTCAGTTCAAATAGGACATCCAAATTCGACAGCACCCTGCAAAAATAGGAAGTACAGTCCTTCATAAATTTGGTGGTTCAGCTGGTATGCAGCACCAGGATACCAATATGGCACAGCGAAACGATTAGAGGGCACTCACCTTGAAAACAAGAAGCTCCTTGCAAACGTGCGTGCGATTGTTGCGCTTTCTTTCATGACTTCCCCTAATTGGCCTGTGCATGTTACGGAGCCCTGTGAACGAAGCCGACAAACACGTGACTGCTACGACCACGTGGCAAAGGGCAGTCAGACACAAAGCAGTACAGCCAAAGTACTGGGAATCCGCGCGCCACCCGTCAGGGGTACGCTGACACGCCGAGAGGCTGCATCCACGTGCGGATGCCGGGGCCGAGTGTGCAGAGTTGCCAGGTGCATCACCCAAACACGCGACGCTGAAATACAATGTTTCAGCGTAGCCAGCATCCGAGCTCCTGGCACGCAGCCCTTCACAGGCGGACTCTGCGCCTACCATGGAAACATACAGCAGCAGCAATTCGGCGAAATTCACTTCGCCTTCACTAGTTTTGAAGCAACTGCGGGCCAAGCCAGAACCTTCTCTGCTTATGAAATACAATTTGCAGTCGACAGACAGTGGCATGTGGGCTCCGTCACATTGGACATGAACTCAACCACGCTCTGCGTTGAAACGCCACAATCAGGAACAAACAGCGAACGAAACGGCGCTCAACATGCAAGTTCACACGTTGGATCGCACCTTTCCAGCGCCCTTTTCAACCACGGCGGACTCGGCATATAGTGTGCTGCCGCCCATGGCCGTCCAAGCGAGTCCCATGACCACGCCTGGAGGCGTTGTTGCATACAGCCTGTCGCTCTTGAAGGGCGGGGCCCCAACATAATCTGCAAGGTCTTTTGCGCTGATAACAATCGGTGCCCCATCATAGGAAGCCTACACAGTGGCATTCAACATTCTCTGCTTAGGAACTGGTGCTGGGAGCCAGAAAGGAATGAAGAGTCACAAACATTGTGCTGTTCCCTCCGCAGCAACTTGGATAAATTTCACACATATTCGACGAAAGCAGGACAACGCACTATTAATGCATACATTGCACAACGGAACTTTGATCGGACCCCAAGTCTGTGTTTATTTCCATGTCATCTCTTGCACGAGCTGCATCATGTCATCGGTACAGAGGCATTGTCTGCCATCAAAAAGCAAACAAAAGCATGCAGAAACAAGTCTGACCTGGCTGGACAGTGGCAACAAGACACCAACAGGCCCATTTCAATCATCACCAGCAATGTACAGCACCTTGTCAGTAGCTTCCTTAGGCGGCTCCGTCTCTGGAACCGACTTAAGCCCTTCATCAACGACACTGGGAGATGTGCCTGAAGTTTCAGCTGCAGTGCTGGCTGCGCCTTCCTCATCAGATGTCTCCATTTCCATGTCGCCTGCTCCTTTTTGGTGCGAGTGCACCTCCTGACGCTTGGGCCCCTTGGCGCCTTTCTTAACCAGTTTGAGTGCCGCTTTCCTGTAGATCTTCTCCAGCTGGTTCCTCAAATTGCGAACACCAGCCTCGCGGCAGTAGTCCTGTGCAGATAGACGCCGTTCTTGACGTTCCAAGCACGAAACCAGGCCACAAAACACTATTGCTGGAAAGTACGGCACAAGGTTCAGTACTTTACAGTTGACCATTTCTTCCCAGAAACGGCATTACAATGCCTCCATCCATGATATGCTGGCCAATTTCGATGGTTCGCCTCTTAATGGAAAATGTATTGACAGTCGAAATATGCAAAGCAGGCACAAGAGCTCAAAGCCAGTTTTTTTCCAGGATTGTTATGCCCTACAGAAATGAGATCTTCCACCGGGACTGTGCTATTTCAGCAATCAGCAGTCTCGTGACATTTGCCCAAGACACCTGAAATGATAACAAAGGTCACAATAAAGCACTTCAACCTGCTGGCACGTCCCAACACCAACACAATCTCGAATTGTGTATGCTAAACGAGTAACGTCTCCTGTTCGGCATCAGTACCAAAGCACCAACAAATAATGCCACACCACTAATCATGTCGCCAATGAGGAAACATACTATTGCCAGTAATGGCGAATACGAACAATGCACCTGCGGGTGCAAACGCCCAGTTGCACCTGGAGCGGACTGCTCCTTTTGACATCGTTTCCCGAATGAGCCAGTGTGCTGCCCATGTGTTTCTTCATATGGAACATTGGGCGCCTGTGCTCACTTACTGACTGCACTGATTTTCATTCATTACCTCGATGAGCACGTCGGTGGCATCATCATGCATCTCAACACTGCCCTCGGGTACTCCAGTGGCCTCCTTTATCTGGGGTTCCAAATATTTTCTGGCAATCCACCTCTTCTCAGATGCAAGGTACCCCGCGATCCTGATGACTTCCATTCGATCAAGCAGCGGCCCAGGGATGGTATCGATCACGTTGGCAGTACACATGAAAAGCACTTTGGACAGGTCAATGGGCACGTCCAAGTAGTGGTCCAAAAAGTTCACATTCTGCTCAGGGTCCAAGAGCTCGAGCATGGCGCTGGCAGGATCACCTAATGCAGCATGCACAAAGGTCAGCTGCACTCAGAATTAAGTGAACCATTCATGAGCACAAACCAGACTTCACGAAATGGATACAATTTGTTGCTACAAGAAGGGGCTCATGAAATTCATGACCGCCACAAATTCATGAGCACCACAGTTGGCCTGGGCACACATCTGGCCCTGGATTGCATCGTCGAATCACATGAGCAGGAACAGGGGCCCAGAAACAGGGCGGGCACCTATACGTACGTTGACTCTGCTGCGATGATCATTAGAAAAGATTCCAAACCACTGTACAGGACAATAAGATTCAGGCGACAGTAATGGGACAGCATTGCGGCAAAAATCATACCTGAAACATTCCAACTGCGGAACTTTGGGTCTCATTCCATATCAGCCACGCTACTCAATTAAAAGAGACAATTTTGCGTGCATCGCAAGCATTCTAAGCATTGGGACCCAAATAAGCGCGACTAATTTCCAAATAGGGATACCATCACATGGTATATCCATAAAATCTCAACTTGCAGATGACAAGGATCGGCATTGGGCAAAAATACCAATCGCTGTCGTATTCATAACAATGTATTTGGACGGCCCCACCTTGGTAGCCCCTCCCAAGCTTGTCAATCTCATCAATTAGGACCAATGGGTTGGATGTTCCAGTTTGCTTCATGCACTGAACCATCTTTCCTGGCATTGCACCGACATATGTGCGCCTGTGGCCCTTTATCTCAGCAACATCGCTCAGACCGCCGACGGAAAAACGGAAATACTCTCGTTTTAAGGCTCGGGCCACCGATTTCCCAATGGAAGTCTTTCCCACGCCGGGAGGGCCAACCAGGCAGAGGATTTTGCCTTGCGTGGTTCCCCTCAGGAGGCCAACAGCCATGAATTCCAATATCCTGTCCTTCACATCGCTCAACCCATAATGATCCTCATCCAAAACCTGACAATTGCAAGAATTTTCTTTATCACCCAATATGCTCTGCCTCAATGTAGGCAATCCAGGCAGTGCTACAACGTGCGTTGGCAATGTAGGCGCCCGTCATTGTGGAAGGGGAGATGACCTAGTCTGACAACAGACTGCGCTCAAGTCTGGCAGTCCAAGAGCACTAACACACTCATAAGCATTTCACATGAACCTAGGTGTCAATTGTGCACCTGCCTGCACAGCACAGTGCCAGCATTCCTTGGAATTGTGTCAATGCTCAAAACTTTAGGGCAGCAAGCAGCTGCTTTAATCAGTCCAGGGTGAATTTCTGAGCAGCCAGTGCACTGTCAAAAAAATGCAGGTAGACCACACCAGCTCAGAGCCACAGCTGTGGCTGGTACAAAGCCACAGCTGTGGGCGTCAAACCGCTCTTCCAGTTGCAATCAAAGACGTCCTGATCATCTGCTGCAGGACAAGAAAAGATTCTTGGAACCTTGTTGCAAGTTATATGCTCCAGATGCACACGCTATCTCTAATTGACAGGAACGCAGAAGCAGAGCCAGAGCTTTCAAAAAAGAAAAAACTGTGGAGCATCACAATCACCCACCTGTATAGCATGCTCCACATCAAAGATCTCCTTGCTGAAGTGGCCCCATGGGATAGAAGTCAGCCATTCCAAGTAATTCCTGGTGACACCAAATTCGGAGGAAGCAGGTTCCAAGGCCGATAACTTCTCTAGCTCCTCTTCAATCACGCTCTTGGCTTCCTTGGGTGCACCATCCTCATACTTAGAAAACTTTTCCCGAAATCTGCAACAGCAACGAACATATGATGATCTTGGGCAAAATGAAGATAGAGCCATACAGCTGCTTCCCCGTCAGGAAACGCAATAAACCACTTGAAGTGTTGTTGACTTCTCTGAAAAGACTTGATAGCATTGAGAGGCACCAATCCGATGAAGCCGATGAAGGGCTATAGCCCCACAGCAGTGGTAGCTGAGGAAATGATAATCTTGCTTGGACAGTGCCCGCAACTGCATAGACTCAAGGCTGACTAGCCTCAGTAACAAAGGCCACAGATGATGATAGCATGGAAAAGTGCCCAACCCATCCTCTATGGCGTAGTGCTTCAATACCTCTTGGCAGAAAAGAGCCTGCGGAGTGGTCCATCAATGCGCATGGAGTGTTGGTCCATAAGAACAGTTGAAAACTGCTTGAACTACAATTGTTTTCGCACAAAGGAATCACAGCCCTTGCACGCTTGATTCCACGCTTTGGCGGCCGCTTTGGGTACTTGGAAGTTCATCTGGTAATATGGAGTTGTTCGGGGCTGGTGAAAGATCGGCTCTGGCAAGATCAGGCCAGACTTAACTGTGCACTATTCCTGCGCTGATTGACATACTGGCAAGTAGCATACGTGGCTTCTGCCTTGCCTCTCGTGCTGCTCTATCGAGAGTGCAAGGAAGAGCGACAGAGTCAGTTCGGCTCACTTCAGTTCAATTCCAGCTGCAACTCACTTTTGAATGAGGGCACTCTTTTCGTCTTTCTCAAGACCCAACTCCTTCTTTATGCTTTTAAGCTGCTCCATCAGGAAGTACCGCCGCTGGTCCTTCGAAATCTTCTCCTCAACCCTTTTCCCTATCTGCTGCTGCAATTTTACCAGATCGATCTCCTTTTTCAACAGCATTAAGACCACATGGGCCCTGGCAGCGATCCGCAAACGGAATAGATGTCAGTTTCAGAGAAGTCACAATTGCCATGCATGTGCAGCTTCATAGTTCATGAGAAACTGAATGAGAAGCATGAAGCCCAATGGCTGTGTTGCTTGTCTGTGGGAAATGGATGTCATCGCACTCGCTGATAGCAACACGACCTGTACTACTGCAATCCAACGTGTTGCAGGCTTGTTTCTCCGAATGCCAGAGCAAGACCGGTGCGCAATTTCTGACAAGCTAAAATGCAGGACGCCAAAAAATGCAGGACGTGATCGGTCACAGTTGCGATGCCAGACTACCAAATGAAACACCATGATTTTGAGGGCGGCGGCATATTCATCGTTAAAGTTGCAGAACAACTCACAAAGAGGAGTGTGACAATGCGCATCATCAGGTGGCTATCACAAAGGAACCTTTCCATCCAAACTAATCGTAGTCCAGCCCACCGCTGATATCACGGCCTGTGCTCTTACGCATAATGCAGAACTCACTGTCCATTTCCACCAATTAATCAAGAAAATTACGGACAATATCCAAACAAATCAACGATGTGCATTGGTATCAGAGAATTTACAAAGATCGAGAATTCAGGAAGAGATGCAATCCTTTTGAGCCAAGCACGAGACCTGACTAATATGGGAGCGCACATGTGGGTGTCAACAATGCCCAGCGTGCCAAAAACGTGCAGCATGTGCAGCAGCGTGTTGTTGTGTTTCAGCACTCCTAGTCAGCAAGGATTTCAGACAATCCATGCCCACAGGGCCGCTTGCTGCAGCTGTGCTTCACTCACCTCTTGGGTACATCCAGTTCCTCAAGGACTTCCTGCAGGACGACATCCTGCGCGCTGGTGATCCCAGCACCAATGTCGGCCAAACGCGACACGTGGTTAAGGTTTGCTCCGATGCCTGCCATGCCATGACAAGTATGCCAAATAGTACTAAGCAGCCCACATCCAACATGCAGTCATGCAAGTCGACATCAGCAACAACAGCAGAAGTTTCCAGCAGTGGAACACAAGTTGTAAATAGCAATTGACACTGGAGTGCTGGCACAGCAACAATGTCACCTTGTACCCCCAAACCACAGATTCCCCAGATTCTGCACCAACAAATATGTTTAGTTGGTATATGCATTCAGACCTTAGTCCCACATTCTTTCTCTCGACTTTGCCAACGAGCAAGCCTACCAAACGAGTGCAGTGTCTTCAGCTGCTCCGTGTACAGAGGATGCATGTGGAACAAATCCCTCATGGTTGAAACAATCTCCATCATTGTTGCCTGCACAGCATTTGAGCCACAATCAAATCTACACAATTTGGCCCTTGTGATGTTGCGAATTCGTTGACCGGTACCTCTGCACAGGCCCATCACTGTGCAGACAAGCACAACAGACGTGCTTGAAATTGTCAACATTCCCACTTTGCAGCAGTGACAGACTTGCAAACCTGTGCTGTGCAGCTATCCAGAACATTCCCACGACAGACAAAACGGTAAAACATAAGAGCGCAATTACTTGGGAGGTCCTGTATCTCTGCAGACACACAATGGCTTTGCGGTGCAAACTGCTTCTCAGAATCTACCCTTAACTACATTCGCTACTTTTGTCTTTGGAAGACAAAGCAGGGCCCCTGCACCTGTTCTGCCCAGCACAGAACGAGCAAAACTCTAGGCAACATCAGATGCAGCATGAGTACCTTCATCTCGTCATCGTTGTCATGGCGTTGGTCTTTCAGCGTTTGCACTGTGACACGCAGGGGATCTGAGTTCACCTCACAGAAGCACCACAACACAATGTGATTCAACAGTGACACAGTGAGTTTGCTTTGCGAACCTGCATAGAGGAGGAGAGGGGGACAGTCATTCGGCAAACTGCACGCACAATCAGCAAATGAACAACAACACAGGACGGGGTGCAGCTGTGGGCAACTGCTGTGCGACAGAACCACAGCCTTCCCAACAACACAATCACAAAGACAGGAATACACCCTAACAGATAGCTTGGACTGCAACAGCGATGCGTATACATGATGTTGCAGGCTGCAATCAGCTGCTATTCTCTGGGGCTGCAGACACAGTTGTGGTTATGCCTGTGGATGGCAGTTGAAGTGACACCTCAGCCATGTGCCAAACAAGTACAGCAGCTGGCAAGTCACTCACTACGGACATTCGCCTTATCCTTTTGTGGCCAAGCAGCAGGAGCTGTGCAGGATCAGCGCCTTCGTTGGGAAGAATCATATGAACCTGGAAACCGCAACAGTCAAAACAATGTCAGCAAGACACCTCAACAGCTGCAAAGAGCATCACACCCACAGGACAGGTCTCCAAATGGATTGTGGGAGCTGGCTGGAAGACCTCTTTGAGGTGATGGCCTGCGGCTATGGGATCAAGATCGCAGGGTTGCTCAGCAGATGGACAAATCGCAAGTCATGAAATGATCAGTGGGCAGAAATGTACTTAGTATCATGCCAGGATACTTTTACCAACTGAGCGTAAAAGCCTTGAATTCTGTTATTAACTCACAGCACAACATTCAGGCTGTTCACTGCATCAGAACATCGTCCATTGCTTGCTGCCTTGGTTGAGACAAATGTCAGTGTTGCAGTATGGAAATAATGCATGATGTTCTGGGTGTTGCGATGATGCGAATCGAAGTCTCAAGTGTTGTGTAAGAAAGTGACATCCACATCATAAAAGACAACCTGGTCAAGATATGGCAGTGTCGCCAAGTGTCACCTGTGCAAAGGTACCAACTTCGAAAAGGTGGCTGGCTGCATCCCGTTTCAAATTTGGTGACACAATTTCCATTCCACCACCTGTTGAAGACAGCCAGAGGGACGATCCAGGTTCATTCTCCTGCTGCTGCAGCTGCTCAGCCTCCGGACGCCTGAGAAATGCACCTACATATGCCTGGCCACTGCATGTGCACAGAATTTGTGGCAAAATGATCACATGTTTTGACCAAATGTTAGTGATGAAAGCGCGATCTTCATTATCGTACAAGTTCCAGGTGTTGTTCGCCACTTTTTGCAAATCCACGCCATTGGGCACCGTTCCAGCCACTGAACTTGACCATTACTGCTTGAAAGGCACAGGCGTGGTGCACAGGACATTTTTGTGACCATATGCGAATGGATCGACTTCCACACAGAACAGTGCATCTTGAAGGAGGACTCAGTTCAACAGGCAACGCCAAGACTTGGTTGGGTTGTCCCTGTCTACAATACTGACAAACATGAATATTGATGTGCAGCAGGAAACTAAAGATATTCTATTCTCTCACAGCAGTTGTTGCAGTGACATGACCACACCAACAACAGGAATATTGCATGTTGCTGATTGCGCAATTCAGATTGCTCCCACAGGTTTCCATTCTAGTCTTTGAGTCCGTTTGAATGCACTCGCCCACAATCATGTCCAAAGACAGAAACGAAACAGACGACACAGCTGCGATGTGTATGCCAATGCCTCAATTGAAAAGAAGATCATTATAAGGGCAGTGGTTGCCATCCTGGCCCATGAGTAGGTTTCTCGCAAAAGGACAAGGGAGAGAGCATTTTATGACCTTGCATTCTTCAGTTCTTGAAGCTCTTTGATCATCTTTCTGTTGTTGACAACAACAGGAATGGCTGTCCCAGGCATCAAAGGTCGCCTTGACAGCTCCACAGCCAGCACCTGCCAAGAGGTTGTTTTTCAATGGCAAGCAAACAAGATATCTGTGACAATAATAGCACAAATTACCAACCAAGACGATGTTCTACTGTCAGGTTTAAAAAGTCAAGACTCAGAGAACAACAGGCTCTCTTGCAGCATAGGAGAGCAATGCAATACACCTCAGAGCAGCGCAACACAGAACACTGGGCACTTGACATAGCGTTGGTGGCATCCTTGTTGTCAGCAATCAGAAAAACAATCTTGGAATATTAATTTGTAACATACCCTTACAACAATCACGTCGCCTGGTGGTTCATGAGCCCTGGTTTGGTTTCCCACAGTGTGTCCTATTCCCAAGCAGTTCTGTGGTGACCTGTTTAAGCTAGTCCACTTATGCGGCCTCTAGTGCCAACCAAACAACATTGGGAAAAAGGAGAATCAGAGATGCCATTGACACTCTGAAGCGAGTAGCCTTTCCTTGTACGCAGCGCCCATACCCTCCATCAACAAATGCCCAAATCAGATTTCGTTCAGCACGATGGAAGGTTTGTGTGAACGTGGGCCAGGTTCAACTGGGGCGTAAACGTGACAACGCAGTATATGCACCTTTCTGAACCGGTCCTCAGGTGGTTTCACAACAATCATGCCATTGCCAGCAGTGCCGCTTGATGCACCCTGCCCGCTCCCTGACCCATTGTCTTGCTTCTCTGCTGCCTTCTCTCCTCTCATTCTGAACAAGAGGGTTCAAAAGATTAGTAATCTTAAAATGCTCTTTTCTTCGCTGACCGGCTGTCAGAGCGGATCTTCATCAAAATCCTTGTGTTGCAATGGCCCCCATGCCTGAGCGAATGTCGGCATGTCTGGCGATGGCAGGGAATTTTTCCACAGATTCCATCATTCAGAGCTGAATTTGGCGCTTTGAACTCCACTGGGGTGGGAAAACAGCGTCTTGGACCATCAGATTTTACTCCATTTGCGCTAATGCTGAGTGCCTGGAGGCACCATGCGCGACCAAGAAAATGGGGATCCTGCCTCCGCACACAAACGCGATCGCGCCCTGAGAGCGCCACGAGCACAGAGCCAAAACTTCGCCCACCTATTCCAGAAGCGCGTCAAATAGTTCCCCGAGCTTCCGGAATCCTCAGAGCCCGAGCACCATCTCACTCCGACCGGCTGCAACACGCCCCTCCGTGCGACATCCCGTGGACTGCAGGCGCCCAGGAGGGTGATCCGAAACAGTGAGGCCGTCTGCAGGACGCAGCGGCCCCTCTGCAACGCCGCCATCAGTCCAGACCCCCACGGGGCGACTCACGGCACGGTGACGACACTGTGTGGGAGCAGTCTTGGGCGCTGGTTTCGCAATGTACGAAATCGTATATTGAACCGGAGGGTATCGGCACCGTCCAATGAATAGTACGCCTCGCGTAACCTTCACGAATCCAACTTGGATTTCTGTCAGTTGGTTGGTGACCACAGTGCGGTCATCACACTGCGTTGGTTTTGGTACGTTTGACGTTGTCGAAGTTCCTTAGCCATCCCGGTTCGAGATCCCGCTCGTCGCAATCGAATGCGCGCAGCGATGGGCCACGACACAGCAGAAGGCAAATTGTTTTGGTTGGGCCTCTGTGGCAACCCTGGTGCACGCGGTGCCCAAGGGCACTCGCCGTGCTTGGTCGGACAAGCAGCCAAGACTGAACTTGTCCTGCAACCAAACCAAGAGACGCCACGAACAAGACTCCGGCTCTCTTTAAATACGAGAGTACGCCTCCTCTTTTCGCCCACCAACACCCACACTCAGAACGGCGGATTGAGCTCACATTTCACACAAGCGCAACACGCTACCCCACAGCACCGACCTATAGCATCGACCCGCGGCACCGACCCCCAGATCCAAATCACAATCACCAAAATTATTAGTGAGCTTGAAGCTGATTGTCGGCCAGCCGTCCTCCCCCCATCTTAATCAGGTCGATGAGCACACCAACCAGCCAACACATGACCAGCTGACTGCACAGCGCGGTGGCTGTGGCTGTCTTGGTGTGACAGACTTGCGTCTCTTCAATCTCACCTCCAATTCTGTTTTCACTTTTCTCATTGAGTTTCAGTACACATGGGTGTCAGCGACCGACCTCCATAACCTGGAAAGTTGCATGTGAAATATCGAGGTAGTGTGACATCCATTTAAAGAAACTGTTGATGTCACTCCTTGGAACGGGATTCTCATATGCCACCATTCAATCATCGGATGGCGAATCAGTAATTGACGGAACTCGCTTAGTGTTCAATTACTAGTAATTCGAACAACGTCAAATTGAAGCAAAGACCCCCCCCCACCCTCTTGTCAAGCTTCAATCCTTATGTCATTCAGCCGTGGCTCGTTATCATTACCTAATATTGTGAAGATATCTCTAAGTTCAGATGAGGCAGCACAGGCACGCTGTGGGGAAGATGAACTTCGCTTTAGTATTCAAGTAAGCCAAACAGCCAGCGATCTTTGGAGCTATGAAAAGTGATGCAGGCTTTGAATTGGGACCTTTGAGGGATCTCCGTGAAGACTTAAGGCTTGAGGGAGGTTTTGAACAGGCCGTGACGTGTTTGTCACTGACCAGCGGCAGTTTGGCTACCTATTTATCTAACATCGATTTTGTGGGCAACAACGTAAGTTCTTGGTGCAATTGAATTAAGTGAATTCCAAAAATACACCGACACAAGATGGCATCAAGAGCTTCCCCCGCCCCCATTAATGCATCGATTTGACATCAAGCGCCCAAAATATCGGCACCCTTATTCATCGCATTTCTTCCCATGGGACAATCTCCTGAACATTCCAGCGCCGGTTTCTGGGGTGTTCACTGCGAGGCGGTGATTGGCTGCCCTCATTCTGTACCTACACAGTAATTTTGATGAAATGGCCGTTTTCCTCGCAATGGGCATCGTGCCATCGTGTTCATGTCGTCGCGTTCACTGTCTAGCTCAGCGTATTCATATTCCGGGACAGTATTTGCCCAGTATAATGAGCTGAATGGATGGATTGGCTAAATGGCCGTAGTCCATATCCATGTCTTGATTATGTCACGTGAGTGACAAGATCACAATAGTTGCGCGGCTTGGAAGTCGAAACAATGGCGCCTGATGCCGCTTGGTCTGTCATGTCTGCAGAGTCCTTCAGGACCCTGTGAAGGCGGCATTTTCAGCTCCTTTCACTGCTGCTGGTGTTTTTCCCTGTTGCCGCTGTTTTCGCGAGGAGCTTGTGGCACGTGCGCGGGGGCCGGGTAGGGGGCAACACACAACTTATGGCGCTGTACTTTGTCATCGAAGGTGTTCGATCGGGTCGCAAGGTGGTGGCGATTTTGTTCCCCATTTGATGGGCATTTCAAGCCGTTGAGCTGGCAGTGCTGGTCCTTCTCGTTGATGCAGTTCTCAGCACAGACCCGCTGCGTGTTTCTCAGCACAGATTCTTCTCGTTGGTGGGCGACCATTGCCGCACGGTTGTTCACCCGACCAGGGGGCTAAGAACTCGCGTTGGAGCTCAGAGAACTATGCCTCGCATTCACCAAGGTTTAATTGCAGAAGCGGGCGTGATGGTGTCTACAACGTTCTCAAGCAAAGTGGTGGGGAGCTTGGTTTTTTCTACATGGAAGCGCAGTGGAATTTGCCCAGAAATCCAGTCCACTATCGCAATAGCACGCCAATATCCAACATAGTCTGCTCGCCCACTTGCAATAATTGCTCTGCGCTGAGCCTTTTTTTGCAGAGAAACTGAAATAGCAGAACAACTCTATTCTAGAGAAATGCGTCAACCCTTCAAAGAGCACAGAAATTTCAGAATGCAAAAGGCCAAATCGTTCATGTGGCAGGGAACGCCACACAATATGCAGCACAACAGGGGTGAATGCTCCCCAAGGCGAACATGTGGCACTGAGGAACGGCCGCGATGGCACACGATGTACACACATTTCGGCTCATCGACCGTGATTAAGGATGTACTGAACCCAGGGCTCCTTGGGGCGGACCGCCTTTCCCAAGCGGTGCTCTGAGCAGTCTTGACCACAACAAGGGCGCGTGCCAGGTGAGTGCCCCGCGGGCCCCTTGACCGGCGGCGCGTACATGAAACGGCCCCCTGGTCACTTCCCAATTGACCCCGTACTGCCGCGTCAACTGGCCCGGTTAAATCGCCACCGGCGGTTCCGCCCCTTTGGCGTACAAATGCCCCTCTCGCTTCAAGCCGTGGTAGTCCTGACCCAGACGGTCTCCCTCCCCCCGGCCCCCTCTCTCGCTCTTGAGGTCGACCCCCTGAGGCGCCGGGACGGGCGGTCTCGCAATGACAAAGGCGGCTCTGCGCAGGCACGCTGAGGCTAGGTGCGGCCCCGAAATGCACGCGGCGCGCCTGTGGCGTGTGCTTTCCGACCAAGAGAGCTGTTTGCGTTTGACCAGTGTCGTCATAGTTGCACCGTGTTCCTTCGCCGCGACGAGCTGATGCACGATCGGCGGACTGACCCACGGAGGCACAGGCTGCGCCGCCGCGAGCCGACCAGCGCGGCTTTGCTGGCGTCATTTGATTTCGCGTTCGACTCGGTGCAGACTTATCTCGAGGGAGTGCGGCCCTGCTGCGGGCCTGCCGCCGCGAGGCCCATTTCGGGGCTCCCCGGCGGTCGCTGGGGTAGTCGCCGTCGCTTTGGTACTGCAAACTGGCCATGGTGAGTGGTGCCAGACAGGAGTGTTGAACCATTTTTCTGCGGCATGGAGCGCTTGGGTGCGCAGTACGGAATGCCGCGAAGTGCCATTCGCCATTGTGTTGTACAAATGATTGGGAAAAACCTCTGCTGAAATGTAGGCGCAACGTTTTGGTTCGTTAATTCAACAGAATGACCAATCGAATGACAGAGATGTGTCCACATAGGAATATATTATTACGTATGAAATGAAAAGAAACAAAAAACGTAATTAGTTATTAAAATAAAATGCGAACAAATACAGAAAATAATAAGTAAATGAATAGATAAATAAATAAATTAATAAATACATTAATCAGTTAATTAAATAAGATTCCTTTATTCATCAACTTGATTCCTTTTACCCGCACGACATGGTGCATCCATGTGTGCATTTGCTTCAAGCTCAACCTTTTCTCCCCTGTCGCAGCCCGAGAGAACACCAAGCGCGCCTCAGTTTCAAGGAGCTGTGCCAAATGTTTCCGCTACATGTTTGAACCCGTGATGAAAACGGGAACAGTGATATGACATTCCCCATCGCATCCCCCACACAATGAACGCTAGCGTCAGCAAGGCAGCGACACTGCCAACGACGTGACCACCAAGAAGACACAGGTAAGTATGGCTACGGCAACAACTTCCAAGAATGGCACAATGAGAGTGGCGACGTGGCAGCTGCGGTGGTGGAGGTGATCGTTGTACAACGCACCGTTCACATGCTCAAAGAGCGATCGCAGTGGTGGGCGGTAAATCCTGCAAGGAAGCTTTGCGCTGCAGAGACTGACCCAAGTGCATGGCAGTGACAAAGGCCGCGGATGCAGAGACCGCGAAATACCAATGGCAGAGCTGGCGAGCTAGCTGATACGACCAAACCAAAGTAGCAGAGAAGGCCATTCTGGAAGCGACTCTGCAGGGCAGGCACTGCAAAGGTATGCCGCGGGTAGGCAGATCGCCTCAAACAAGAGCTTGCTGCTACTACTCAGAGAAAGAAACATTGATCGAACGTAGCTGCAATCACAGCA